GAGGGTGAGAAGAGGCCAGTCAAAGGCTGTGTTTCTGCTATTTTTTGGGAATATTTAAAGATTTTATAGAGTAATGGTTTTTGTACATTCACTCGAATGATACATAAAAAATTGGCGGTTTCAATTAAATGACAGTGTTTTTTTTTTTTTTATACATACAGCATATTATACACAACTATATAATACAAAGAATTTCCTAAATAAAAAAAAAAAACTACTTTGACGTTATGCTTATATTATATTACTATAATGGTCGTGCATTGAACTGACCTGTTATTGTTAAGAACTTCCATTTTGGTTATCGATCATAAAAATACATTCTATTCATTGTATAAACAATTATATAATATGCTCAAAATATGCTAATTGTACGGTTTTCTGTTTTGAATTATATTGTCGTACAATATATATATATATATATTCATACTCATACTCAGTTAAACAAATACTATTAAGGTAAATTATAAACCTTTTGATATTTATTTTTTAAGTTCTATTACTAAAGCGAACTACTACTTTATTTACTTATACTCAGTTAGAACGAACATTATTTTTAGAAAAAAACAGATTAATCCGAACTTATCTAACTTTTGAATTAAATAATAAAACAAGAGATAAGTTTATTTAAGTTAAAAGATAAAGTTAAATACAATATACCAAGTTGATTGTTGTACACTTGCACCAACTCATTGGTAATATTTTATTTATTTTTTGAAAAGGTTATTTTTGAAAAAAATAGACTGTAGTATGGTTTTTATGAATTATATATTTTAGTCTTAGATACAGTATTTAATATCTTTAGTATTTCAAATTCATAAAAAACATGTACCGAGAGTTAAAAATTACCTTTTTCAAGCATCTAGCTCATGCTGTCAGTAATAAACAAAAATCGATTTTTTTTATGTAATATAACTTGACTTTTGCCTAAGTCGCACACAATACGTGTGAAGAACCACGTAGAGTACCAAGTATAATTATTTTATGTGAACGTATACGCATACCTATTTATCTTTGTATGTTTTCGTGTAGGTAGTAGGTACCTATTTAAAAAAAAAAAAAAACAAAACAAAACAATTATTTTTTAAAGTTCAATATTTTTTTTTCATTTTTTATTGTATATATATGTATAGTTTGACAACGATTGAATCCAACATGATTTAATCGTCATAATAAAATTAATAAAATCTTAAAATGTACAAAGTTTAAGCCAGGAAAAAAAAATTAAACGAGTATAATGATAATAATTATAATAATAATAATAATAATAATAATATTATGCTATGTATTTATAAATATTTATAATACACATATGTATACAGATATAATAATATATATTGTAATGTTTTAGATGTAAAACAATAATAATTATAATAATAATAATATACACATCGTCAATTGTAATATAGTAACACGACAGACGATATAATATATTATTTCGGAACGAACAACAAATAGGCGTTATATTATGTATATCACGACGCATGTCAAAAATCGTATGCGTCACATTATAATAATAATTATAATTGTTATAATAATAATGTAGATATATATGCGTTATACAGGATACAATATAACGTGTATATAAATTATATAAATATATGCGATATAGGTATGTTAAGACATTTTTTTTTTCCTTAAAATACTAATAATACTCTTATATTTTGTACGAATTATATAGGGATCAAAACAAAGAAGAAAAATTAAAACACCTCAAACTGCAAGAAAATCCATTCAAATTAATTTTTACGTCGATTAAATTATGCATTTTTTTTTTTTTTTTTAACTTCTTCGCAACATTATTAATTATTGCCATTATCTTTTGGATCATTGAATAGTATCTCAATGATTGCGTGCTTGAAAAATTCTGTTTTCTAGACAACGTATATACGTAATAAAATGTAAAACGAACAATGTGAGTCATTAGTTCGAATAGAAAACGATTTTAAAATATAATAATGTTATTATTTTATGCTATGGTATCACGCGATAAATATGCAATGACAATTTTTCTATGAACATTTTATAGGTATATGTGTAAATAAATAAAAAAAAAAATTGTTCGACGATAATTATTTGGTATTATTTCATTTTAAACACGAACTTTTTGACAATAATATTGCTGGCGTTGGAATTCGCGATTGACAGTTTGTTTTTTGAAAAAAAAGTACAGGGCAAAATACGAGTATAATAGGTCAAATATTTTGGTTTAGGGACAGTATTTTAAGTATTTATATTATACCACTACAAAATACAATAATATTATGATAATATTAATGACAATTATTAATATTAAGAAAGACTTATATAATTTATTTTATTTTTCCTTCTTTTTTTTTATTTTTTTTTTTTTTAATAAAATAAAACAAAACAATTGCAATAATTAACTAAATGGTATTTATATTTCTAAGCAGTAGCTTAATAATAAAATGATGATAATAATAATATAGCAATAAAACACACAATAGTCTAACAACAATCATAACGAAAAAAAAATATTAAACAAAAAATAAAAACATAATAGTTCCATACTTTTAAAATATACGCAACAAATATTTGGCCCTAGGTCAAGGTGCGGTCTGTCTACAGCAATAAACAATACTAAAATAATGATAAAAATAATAATTGTTTTTTATTTATAAATATAACAATAATAATAATAATAATAATAATTTTAAAGCATTATATTATGCATATTATACCAACACATGATTCATTATTATAATAATAATAATATAATATTATATTTTCGATATATATATTATAGTAAACATATGTGGTACGAACAAAAACAAAATACAATAAATAAATAAATAAACAAAAGATTTACGTTAAAAAAAAAAAAAAAAAAATGAAACAATAAATTTTTATAATAGAATATTTTTAAACTATCAAATAAATAAATAGGTTTTAATTATAAAATATAATATCGAGAGAAATAATAATAATAATCAAATTATAATAAAAATGAAAACAATAACGCCACATTTTTTTTTTTTAATTTTACTGGCCCCATTTCTTTATTTTTGCGCTTCGAAACATGTATACAGTCTATTATCATATTATATTATCATCTAAAATATTAATATTTTTGTTTATTTTTTTCTATAATATTATTATTTCTGTTTAAATTTAAATAGAACGAGATTTATAAGTCGATTATTAATGTTATAAATTAATATTATGCGAAATTTGAAATTTTATAATATAATTGGATATATTTTATTGATTCCAACGATAATTTTATCCTTACTATTTATTATTAATACGTCAACTGGCAGTGACTTGCTCACGCGCTAAAAGAGGCAGTTAATTGGATTTGCGTGGATACTTGGGATTTTGTATTTTTTTTTTTTTTTTTTTTTTTTTGTAAGAAGAAGATGGTAGAGGTAAGCAAGGACATTTTTTTCATACGTTATATTTAATCGTATATTTTAATAAATATAATAATAATTATAATATATGTATTACCTATGATAGATTATTAAATTAAAATTTAAAATGAACAAATTTCAATAGTAATATAATAATAGAATATACAATAATTGAATGAAATAATAAAATAGTATATTTATATGAATTATTATTGGTTGATGAAACATAATAATCACAAATTATGGAAACGTAATGATGTTATAAACGGCTCGTTATAGTAATATAATAATGATATATTATTATTTAATAGTTATTATGTGTGGTTTGGAGTGACTAAATACCTAAGAAATGTTGCACAAGGCGGCAAAAGCACAACCGTTATGATAAATAAACGATATACACATTATTATTATTATTAATAGCGCTATAAATTGAATACCTATACAAGGAAAAAAATTGACTATCGGATCTAATAAATCAGTTCTATAAATGTATCATTGGATTAAAACACATTTATCTAATATACTTCATAATAATATTTAATATCATTATAATATTAAAAACGAAAGTTATAAACTTACGATTAATAATTTTTTCCATGCTAATTATTTATATTTGTTTAATTTTATTTACAAAGACTACTATAATTATTTTAGTAATTATCATTTAGGTAATAATGTAATTATGCTATTTACAAAAAAAAAAATTAAAAAAAATAGTTTTCCGTTTTTGAACAATTACGAACTGCTCTAAAAAGCCGGCACTTGATAAAAAGAACAAAAAAATTGTGTAAAGTTTAAGTTTTGTATCCGTCATATCCCGATCGTTGATTATTATTCATAATATCGTCCTTCTTCGGGGGCCTACATGGCCTAGTATGCGACATAATAAATGTGCGCGTCAACGAGCGGTCAGTTATATTTGATATTAGTGTGACATTTTAAAAATATCATAATGATAGAAGTAATTTATATATTTTTTCCCTAATAATGTACGTGGTGGGCGAGATGAGTGAATACAGCGCCTGGGATTTTTAACGATTTTGATCATTAGGCTCCGGAGTTATTATTATATTTACACAATAATTTTATACATTTATCATACGCAATAATGGCCTTTAAAATTGTATATTATTATAACAGTTAATTTAATAATAATAATAATAATAATAATAATATGATGATGATATTGATAAAAATAGAAAACACTTTGATAATTAATATTATAATGGTATTATAATACAATAAATTATTATGATCGCCCGTGACAATAAAAATATTACTGTACGCTATAACGTTTAAATATTTTAAATTGAAAAAAATTATATCTTAATAGGTAGTTAATTTTTTTTTTTTAATTTTTATCAATTTTTATAATTATATATTTAAAAATTATTTTAATGCATTAATTATACTTTTGGTATTGAAATAATTATTTTATATATCATATTATTATATGATATATCATATTATTATATATATACACACGCGTACTGTACGTATATAGTATATTATATATATATATATATACATATATACGTACAAATGTACGAGTATTACTGGTAACAAAATATTATGTATAAACGTAAAATATATAAATCTTTAATAATAATAATAATAATAATAATAATAATTTTATAAATTATAATAGATTACAATAATAATGAAATAAATACCACCGTTTTTCAAAACATTTAAGAGCGTTCGTCTATCTGTACTTGTGTGTGAACGTGTGTGTGAAAGTGGTGTCTAAGGATATTTAATTTTAACGAGTTCTAACGTAATATTGTCAGAGGGTTGTGTAACCGAGGTAGCGGTTTGGGTGGTAAAACGGTAGTGTGTGTTTTTTGCGCCTTTCTGTGTGTGTGGATGGGTGTGTGAATATGTGTACGTGTGCGTGCGCGAGTGTGCTTGCGTTTAAGTGAAGTGCCGTTTCTTGTGCAGCGCCAAATGGTCGGACCTAGAGAAACATCGCTCGCAGTGGCGACACTTGAATGGTTTGGCGCCAGTGTGCTTGCGGTAATGGCGGGTCAGCTCATCCGACCGGGCAAAGCTCCAGCCACAACCAATCCATTCGCATTTGTACGGCTTTTCGCCTGCAAACGGAAATAAATATAAATATTAATAATAATATAATACAAAATATTAAGTAAAACAAACATGATGAATTATTATTAACTATTATTATTATTATTTAAAAAAATGCATGTTATACGTTAAGGCTTGATGCACAAACACACGTTATAAAAATAATAATAACGATGTATACCCGTATGCACTATGATGAATATGCATTCCTGTTATTGTTTAAATATATATATATATATTTAAAAAATTAATTAAGCCACGGAAACTATGACCATTAACTATGGGATTTTTTTTGTTACGATAGAGTGTAGTGTGGCAGATTTTGGAACACGTGTTCGCATATGTAGGAAATGGATTTGTCGCTAAAAACTCTGGTGGTCACTCACCCGTGAGTTACTGATGCCGGGCGGTACTTGAACGAAGTACCATTAGGTGACTGCGTCAAAACACTACGCCTGGCCTGGAAAAAAGTGAAACTAACCAATACCTATATATTTTATCTCGTGGAATTTCATTACAGTTAACAGAGTCACTTAAAATGTTAAAAACAAATGATGAATCATTAAGTTTGCATCCGGAGGAGAGTGCAAAACTGTATATAATTTTAAAATGTTTTAAAATTGAGTTTCATATAATAATCTACAATACGTTACAATCGAACATTTAAAATAATTAACAATATAAAGTTTTTATGCATTGAATATTTTATTAATAATCTTAACATAACTCTAGTGATAATCATACAATCAGGCAAACCAATCACAAATAATTGAATATTAGCGTTTAAATGTATTAGTATACGATGCCTATGGTTTAAAATTCATACATTTCAATGCGTAATGTTTATCGTGGTTGAATTTGTTAACTAATTAAAACGTATTTCAATTGTAAGTTTTAATTTATTTTAAAATGTAAATAAAAATAAAATCAAACAATATGAACCACAAAACTATTACGAACTTTGTTAATATTTTTTTTTTTTTTATGTCAATTCAATATAATTATACTACGATAAGATAATATTATAATATTACATATCAATATATACGTATGATATTTTTATATCACGTTTTCTGTACGGTCTAACTTATGGCGACAGAGGAGACAATGATTAGTTTTTTTTTAACCTCGAGTCACAATGCCATCCACGTGAAATATACACAATAACTGTTTAGAATTATTACTTTTTTTTTTTTCATTTTATTATTTTTAAACTCTTGCTCCTATTATTTTACTCACGCTTTAGCACGTTTTTGACGAGGGAAATTATGGAGTATTGTTTTATGCGACTATGCTGCACGTGAGCTTATTCTGAAGTCATCCAGCGGCAAAAAAATAAACCCATCAATTATACACACATACAAAATGTAAGTTATAAAAAATAATTAAAAGAAAAAAATTAATTTTCTTCTAAATTATTTTAGGGAAATATTTTATTTTATTTTAATAGTTTAATTCGAATAAGACATGTTTTATAAAGTATGGTGTAAAAATAACAAAAATATAAAAGTTTAAGTTAAAAATTAATTGCAGAAAATAAGTTGATAGAGTAATAAGAGTTACAAAAATAAAAAAAATTGTCATCCGCTCAAAATCATCTGACTAAGGTAATAATACAGTATCTCGTCGCATTTCGGTTCATTTGGAAATCCCAGACGAACGACCGCATTATACGTATAATACTTCTATAACAAACCGAACAGCACAGCATTACGAACGCTTCTGGCTCTTCCACTACGACTGCTTCAATATACTACATTTAATAATATTGTACTCGTGGAGTGAAAGCTCTTGGAGGTCTCAGCTGGTCAATCAGTTATAATGTCCGAAACATTGTATTAAATATTATTATACGTTTTCCAGGGAAAGTGCCTGCGCCACACGGCGAAAACGAAGGGAAAGAAAACAATATGATATATGAATCGTAATAATAATCGGGTGCAGAGTAGTTTAAGCATGACAACACGCACACGCGTGCGCCAAATATAATGACCGCGACACAATAATAATAATAATAATGAGGGAGCCACCGAAATCGATAGAAATTGCATTGTTTTAATGGTGGTTCGTTCGCACGTTCAACGAGATAATATTATTAACGCTGAAAGAAAAACTGACGATTACAGTGTATAAATATACGTTATACTATACACTAGTGTGCATCCCAAACGACTGTTTTAATTATACAAAAGGGTTCGAGTCATATTTATTTTTTTATTTCCGTGATGGTTTATAATATTCCAGTAGAGTTTTTGTATTGTATGCATTAATAATATGCAATACCAAAGCAAACAAAGTGGTAAGTTTATGAAAAAAAAAAAAACTTCAGTTCGTTAAACAAGTCACTATTGGTGATAAAAGAACAAATAATATTATATTTAACTCTAAAAGTTAATACGGAGAAAATAATTGTTAACTTACTTCATAATAAAAAGTCAGTTAATTTTTTATTTCAATATTAACCAAAATCACATAGCACTAGTTGTGCTACAAAAGTTTTTTATTTCAAATTATCAAACTATTTTGTTAAATAATATTTAATCATTCCCAATTTTTCTTCCTACAGTACTCTGTAGTGATTCATGTAAATTATATGTCAACTAAATTAAACTATAAATATATTTATTTGTTTAAAATCATTGTCTACAACGTGATAATATTATATAATAGATTTTATTCATTTTTAAATGTTAACCACAGTTTTAACTTAATATATTACTAATTTAATGTAACTGAAAAAGTAATCTTCGACTATGAATATTTGATCTAGATCAATATTACCGTCGTAAGAAGCCATGTTTACCCAAAATTTAAGATTTTCTTTAAAGTCTACAATTTCGTTATCGTCTTTAACCTGAACTTTATTAATGATTAAATTAAGTGGAATAATATGGTTTTTAATTCAGGCACAATTTAGAAATATTTTTTAGATATATTTTAATATTATGGTACATACCAAAATATAATTTATATGTCAATTGAATTATTGAAGCAACACGACTGTAATATGATACAAATTCAATTTTTAACAATAATAATAACAACAATCGTTATTATTATTATTATTTGTAGCTATATCCTCGTGAGAATTTCGTCGAGAGTACAAGTTTAAGCAAAACTTAAGTTTTAATTTGTTTTTATACCAACAATGACGACGATAATATTAAACACATTTAAATGTCTCAAGTTTCTCGCTTGTTCCATTTATTACGTTATATTTTGGTATACGCTCAAAATGTTGTTGCTGTTGAAGGTGATTAATAAATTAAATTGAAACATTATTTATAATTCTTTAAAAATATAATGCAATGTCAAAAAAGATAAAATGACAACATTTTTTTTTTTTTTTTAATTGTTTTTCCAAAAATGTTATATATTATTGGTGGAAATAATATTATAAAAATGTATTCATATTTTATACTGTAGGTAAAATTTAGTGATTCGTGTTTCTATATAATTTTTAAGAACCCCAAAAACATTTTATTATTATGTTATAAACACTGTGTAATTTAATAAATATCACTTCCTTGATTACAGCATTCATAATTATAATTAATAATATGAGGTTTTTATTTAAATATATTGAATGAAAATCAATGTTATTACATAAAGATTCTCAAATTAGATTAATTTATATTCAAAATGTTAACACGGGATTTTTATATTAAATTCAAACCTTACACGTTTGAAATATGCGTTCAAAAGTTTTCCCATTATAACTTTTTAGATTTAAACTGTCCGAATAATGCTAGACAACAGATGCCAACAGTCTCCTGCGGAGTCTGATGTTCACACAGCGGCGCAGTCAGCAAATTATATTTTCAAACAAATTTCGATAATTCTCATTGAATTATTAAATAAAGTATCGCTATTTCACGTTTTTTCCATATCATGTAGAAACATGATGCGATGCTAAACGAAAAGCGATCGTGTATATCACTGCATAATATACTAACTCACTCGGACATGTTTTGACAGCTATGGGAGTTCACAACGCAACTTTTAATTAAATTAATCTTGACAATGACCTAATACCTAATTATTAATACGCAATTTATTGTTAACCCGTTGGAACAAAATCATTTTTTTTTTTCAAAATACTTATGGTTTAAAAATTAACTATTCTCAACTTTGAAAATGTTTTTATGTTATAAATTATTCATATGTTCATTACGTTTATAAATTGTTAAACGTAGTTTATTTGTTAACATATTTTACATTTTTTTTAGACTGAGAGAGTTATTGGTTTTTCTGTGCAATTTGTTTTTTACTCCTGAAAATATTATTTTTTTTCTTTTCGGAGTAGTAAAATATTTCAAAATTTTATAAATCTCTTGAAATTAAACAAATAAAGTACTTTTATTAGAAGGGTAATTTTTTGATTTTTTTCGGTAAATTTTAAAAATTTACTAAGAACAAAGTGAAAATTAAGCAATGAAAATAATATGCATTGTATGATCATTATTTCTACCATAATAGATAATTTTAATTTTTTTAATATTGAAAATTATGAAAGCCATGAAAACAGTTAAGTCATTGTTGTTGTTTTTTTTTTTTTTTTATTATTAAAATTTATGATCGACGCGATTTTCTGCTAATATGGTATTTTTAAATATATTTCGAAATAATATCTTGATATTTTTTTTAACAAAAGTACTACATCAATGGAAATCTTGACTTACATGCACCAACAACCGTTTTTACTGTATCTAAAGACGGGTAACGTTTATTCGAAAACTATACTATTTATGAGAATATACAAAAAGTTTTGGCGATGATCAATAATTATACAACCATCGTCAGAGATAAAAATAAAATCTCCCACCTTTGCCGCGTTTTGACATCATGTACGTTTTATACCTCTGTAGTTAGGTAGTAAATTACTATATGTAGGCGCATTATATTATTATTATTATTATTTTATGCGCAAAGAACCGTTACACCATGACACGATACTAACGTCCCCAGTGACCAAGATCAAGGAAAAGAAAAAAAGGTCGACAGTACA